TGGGGGTTATTGATCACGAGTGATTGGGGGGTTATTGATCACGAGTGATTGGGTTATGATCACGGTGATTGGGGGGTTATTGATCACGAGTGATTGGGGGGGTTATGTCACGAGTGATTGGGGGGTTATTGATCACGAGTGATTGGGGGGTTATTGATCACGAGCGAGTGATTGGGGGTTATTGATCACGAGCGAGTGATTGGGGGGTTATTGATCACGAGCGAGTGATTGGGGGGGTTATTGATCACGAGCGAGTGATTGGGGGGGTTATTGATCACGAGAGAGTGATTGGGGGTTATTGATCACGAGCGAGTGATTGGGGGGTTATTGATCACGAGCGAGTGATTGGGGGGTTATTGATCACGAGCGAGTGATTGGGGGGGTTATTGATCACGAGCGAGTGATTGGGGGGTTATTGATCACGAGTGATTGGGGGGGTTATTGATCACGAGTGATTGGGGGGGTTATGATCACGAGTGATTGGGGGGTTATTGATCACGAGTGATTGGGGGGGTTATTGATCACGAGCGAGTGATTGGGGGGTTATTGATCACGAGCGAGTGATTGGGGGGTTATTGATCACGAGGAGTGATTGGGGGGGTTATTGATCACGAGAGTGATTGGGGGGGTTATTGATCACGAGCGAGTGATTGGGGGGTTATTGATCACGAGCGAGTGATTGGGGGGTTATTGATCACGAGCGAGTGATTGGGGGGGTTATTGATCACGAGCGAGTGATTGGGGGGTTATGATCACGAGAGTGATTGGGGGGTTATTGATCACGAGTGATTGGGGGGTTATTGATCACGAGTGATTGGGGGGTATTGATCACGAGTGATTGGGGGGTTATTGATCACGAGTGATTGGGGGGTTATTGATCACGAGTGATTGGGGGGTTATTGATCACGAGCGAGTGATTGGGGGGGTTATTGATCACGAGCGAGTGATTGGGGGGTTATTGATCACGAGCGAGTGATTGGGGGGTTATTGATCAACGAGTGATTGGGGGGGTTATGATCACGACGAGTGATTGGGGGGGTTATTGATCACGAGCGAGTGATTGGGGGGTTATTGATCACGAGCGAGTGATTGGGGGGTTATTGATCACGAGCGAGTGATTGGGGGGTTATGATCACGAGCGAGTGATTGGGGGGTTATTGATCACGAGCGAGTGATTGGGGGGTTATTGATCACGAGCGAGTGATTGGGGGGTTATTGATCACGAGCGAGTGATTGGGGGGTTATTGATCACGAGGAGTGATTGGGGGGGTTATTGATCACGAGCGAGTGATTGGGGGGGTTATTGATCACGAGAGTGATTGGGGGGTTATTGATCACGAGCGAGTGATTGGGGGGGTTATTGATCACGAGCGAGTGATTGGGGGGTTATTGATCACGAGTGATTGGGGGGGTTATTGATCACGAGTGAGTTGGGGGGGTTATTGATCACGAGTGATTGGGGGGTTATTGATCACGAGTGATTGGGGGGTTATGATCACGAGTGATTGGGGGGTTATTGATCACGAGTGATTGGGGGGGTTATTGATCACGAGCGAGTGATTGGGGGGTTATGATCACGAGTGATTGGGGGGTTTTGATCACGAGTGATTGGGGGTTATTGATCACGAGCGAGTGATTGGGGGGGTTATTGATCACGAGTGATGTGGGGGGGTTATTGATCACGAGCGAGTGATTGGGGGGGTTATTGATCACGAGCGGTGATTGGGGGGTTATTGATCACGAGAGTGATTGGGGGGTTATTGATCACGAGCGAGTGATTGGGGGTTATTGATCACGAGCGAGTGATTGGGGGGTTATTGATCACGAGCGAGTGATTGGGGGGTTATTGATCACGAGCGAGTGATTGGGGGGTTATTGATCACGAGCGATTGGGGGGTTATTGATCACGAGTGATTGGGGGGTTATCGATCACGAGTGATTGGGGGGTTATTGATCACGAGTGATTGGGGGGGTTATTGATCACGAGCGAGTGATTGGGGGGTTATGATCACGAGCGA